TACAATGATCATACATATTTAGTTCAAAATTACATCTGACCTGTTTGCTGTAATATCAAATAGTTTGTACTTAGCCTAGTATCTCATAAAAGTTCTAAAAAGTACTATTGAAAAAGTAATTATATAGATCATTCATCCAATTCTTTCATTTCTTAAATAACAACTTAATTTTAAAAAATCTGATTAGAAAATAAAAAATGTTTTCATAATGTTCTAAATTCCAGCATAAATCAAGTCTTAAGCCACATGGAATTGGAAACACTGAGTTTCAATAATTAAGCCCTCATGTTCTAGTTTGTGTTCTTGGCTTACTATGACCTGGAAATCAAGGAACTTTCAAAAACATTTTTCCTCAATATCTAATTGGCTATCTTAAAAGTAAGCCATTATTTTATTTTCTTAAAGATTAATTATAATCCCTATCTCCCTTATTCTCTGTCTATAATCCTTCTCTTCTTAAGGATTAACTAGTAATACAGTCGACCCCCCTATAACACTGTTGATAATTCCGTTTTATATGAATTCCACATTGTACGAGTCACTTAGATTTTACAGATACATCTGCTGGGCTTGAACGGCTCATGTATTTGTAAAATCTAACTGACTTGTACAACATGGAATTCATATAAAACAGAATTATCAACAGTGTTATGGGGAGGGGTCGACTGTATTAAACTGGTGAAATTTTAAACAATTAGTTGCAATATTTTATAAAAATGCTAAAATCAGGCTAAATTGATATTTTAAATATAACCATAATTTAAAAATTTTTGAGCTGTTTTTCAATTTTGGAATTTTAAACAATAAAATTTAAACTGAAACAAAATATTCTGTATACATTATTGCACGGACAAAGTTGTATCACATTTCATTGGTGCAATTTCATTTTAATTTAACTGATCCATATAGATTTTCATTTCTATGTTTATATTATAAATTTTATGTTTTAATATTGTAAACACTCATATAAATACTTTATGTACTGTACATTATTATAAATGGTATTTGCATTTGATGTTTCTTAACCACATTCCATTTCAATCTTTTAAAATTTCTTTTGCTACACATTTTTATTCTCTATTGCTTGTTCTAAAAATATTAAATAATTAATTGCTTACTATACACTACCCCACATTTTTTTTCTTATTAGAGAATCCTCTGTAATGAAACACCAATTCTTTTTCGGTTTGCAAAACTTGAGGCTAAAGAGCTTTGCATTTTATTCCTATTTCTGAGACTGAATCATCTTAATATGATTTACAACACTGTCCTATTTTTAAAAGTACTGCATGTTTATTTTGTTCATAAACACTTTTGAATATACACATTAATGAAATCACTATTTCAGGTTATATACACCCAGAGCTATAACAAAACACAGGCTTCTACAGTCTCATCTACTGTTCATTATTAGTATTTCTGTTCTGTGTCTACATAACACGTGAAAAGAAAGTGCACCAGAGGCCTCAAAACTGCTTAAAGCAACCCCATATCTACCATAAATCAAATTAAAGTAGAACTCAAGAAATAAGAGTTTGGTGATACTGTGAATCAGACTTCACAATGCCATAAGACAGTGGTGCAACTAGATTGACTAACTCCAGATAAAATTATATACCAAATCACAGTAATTTCATAAACTATAAAGTACAATATTCATGTAAACAAGTTTGATTATTGAATAAGTAATGAGAAAAACGAGGAAATAATTTCTGTTCATTAATTATTAATGTAAAAAATTTTAAAACTTTTCCTCTAAAGATGAAAAGATAAACAGGTTAAATAAAAACAGACAATTCACAACTATCACTCCAATCAGAAAGGTTCACAAATTTCTCACTGCATGACTGAATTTTTTTTTTAAACTTCCTATAAAAATACCTTGAACTAAATCAATTTAATTCCTACCTATAATAAATTTCACAAAAAGAATTGAGAAAACTTTTCAAATTAGCAAATCATTTAGGATAATCCAAAAATTGTATGACAGAAAATGATTATGGCAAAAATTTTCCTATCATTATTCTTTATTCTGTTACTTCAAGTAACAGAATAAAGGAAAATTTTTCTGATAGTTCCTAAAAACTATCAGAAAGGTTTTTATTCCAGTCAACTTCAGTCAAGCTGTTCGCTTAGACTTCCAGAATGTGTTACAGAAATTAAAACTTTAATATGAAAAAATAAACAGCCTGCAGAACATTGAGTTTTTCAAAATTTTGAAATTATTAAGGTATAATTTTCAATAGTTCTCAATAGCTTTGGCTTCAAGTAGCAGAATAAAGAATAAGGTATTAAACACGAAGCAAAAAATTTCCATTATTTCTAATATAATATTACATCTATAAGAAAATTTTTTACCCATATTCATGTTCTACCATATAATTTCTGTTTTTGAAACAGAAATTTCTTTAAAAGAATAGCTTATAAATTTTTAATTATGGAATTTTAAAGCTGATTAATATCTGAACACTGGAGATTTATGTAAATCACTAGATTTTTGCAAGAGGCACATTTCATTTACCACAAATGTATAATCTAACTTTCTGCTTCTATTCCGTTTTTCAAATATCAATATGTAACCGGTTCAAACACAGTTTGTTAGGTGTATTAGATACTTGGCTTGGATGTCACGCCAACAGTTAACTCAATCAAAAACTTCAGAGAGAATTAAGAGAAATATTTTAATCTTGCAAGCGCTTTCAACGTAAATATGTATGTCGCTTCAGGCAATTCAAAATTGAATAGAGAATTTGAACAGAACATTTAAATTTAAGCATTAACGATATTAGCCGTTTTTGGACTATAACTATTATTTGGAATATAAACCTTATTTTTAATAGTTATATTCCAAAAACAGCTAATATCGTTAATGCTTAAATTTAAATGTTCTGTTTGAATTCTCTATTCAATTTTGAATTGCCTGAAGCGACATACATATTTACGTTGAAAGTGCTTGCAAAATTAAAATATTTCTCTTAATTCTCTTTAACGCCTCCTAGTCTGAAGTTTTTGATCAAACACAGTTATTCTCTAGAAATTATCACATCCACAGATATGAAAAATACTAGCCTAACAACTTTATTTTACCCAGACGCATTTCAGAAATTACAATATTTCCCTCCCACTTAGGAGAAATAATATAATTTCTGAAATGCATCTGAATAAAATAAAGTTGTTGATAGTCTAGTATTTTTGGAATTAGTGGATGTGATAATTCCTAGAGAATAATGGTGTTAGAACCAGTTACACATAGATACAAATGTATACTTTGTGATTCAAGAAATACCTAGATTGTTTATTAATCCTATTTTTTAGGATACTCTATTAATTTTACTCTACTCAAATCACATTCTTCACCATAAATTTCTCATTTTTGATAGAGTTAAATCAGTACGTTACTGTGAGTCAGAAGCAATTTGCAATGAGCAAAAACTATAGCAAGCCTTCCAATGTTAATGAACAGTACTTCACACTAACAAAGTAATCAAAATTATTTAGCTACAAATTTTTAAAAAATTTTAATTCATTACATCATTTAAATATTAAAAAACCATTCATGGATATAATTTTAAATTCATATGAGGAATTCCAGAACTTATGTTGTTCTTGACTTGTTTATTATTATTTTTCTTAATCTGCAAATTTTCATAAATACAATTTTCAAATGTACATTTGGATTAAAAAATGTCCAAATTTTTATATTGATCACACAATTTACCATATTCCATTTCTTCTTTACTTTAAAACCATGAACTCCTTTCTAAAAAGGTAACATTCTCAATTAAAGAAAAAAAACCAGATGAATTGCATTCACTTTCAATTTATTATTAGACAATTGACACCAATTTAATATACACACGCTATATATTTTTCCTGAGATCTATGTTCAAAACACCATCTTTAACTAATGTTTTTGGCGTCTCAAAAGTAACCTGCAACATTATTTTATTATCTGCATTAACTTGACCTGCAGATGACTTTTGTGAAGCCAAAAACATACAGTTAAACAGATTTCCAAATGGTTTTTGGGCTTTATACACATTAGACAAATTTCCTTACACATTTTAAGTCAAATGCACATACAACCAGATACAAAAACCTAAATAAGATCAAACCTTCAACATCTGGCAAAAAATATAAGTAATATATATATATATATTACTTATATTTTAAGTCAAATGCACATACACTTACACATTTTAAGTCAAATGCACATACAACCNTCAGAATCCTATTCACATGATTTACGACACCTACTGGATAATTATTAAATTAATAAACATTTATTTTTTTTAATAAAATTTATTATAAAAACACAATTCAGAGATGAGCTAATAATATATATATATATATATATATTTTTTTTTTTCAGCTTGCTTTATAAGCCATCAGGTTATATATTCAAATCATATCTCTCTAGAATGTGTAGAATTATGGGTTTTAAACATTCTAGAATTGTAGAATTTGAATTTATAAGCCATAACTGCTTCGAATAGTAGCCAAAAACATTCGTCCGTTCTTTATAACCTCGGCCAGATATCAAAGGTTTGAAATTATTTAATATTTTCCACAAGTTGTAAGCAGAATCTTTTTAAATACAGATAAGAAACAGATTTTTTTTTAATATAATTCACAAGATTTTTCTCTGAAAATAAGAAAATATAATGAGTTTTTACATTGAAATATTCTATAAATTTAAATTATGTAATTCTAGAACAGAGAATTATGGGATTTAAATGTTCTAGAATCACAGAATTTATAAATTCTAGAAATTAAAAAAAAAAATCAATTTTTTTTTATTTATAGGAAAAAAAACAAACTCAAATTTAGATTTAATAAAATCGCATTTTTAGGGAATTTTTAGAGGAAAATATACAAATAACTTTGAACAATATAAATTTCAAATTCATCTATTGTCTTCTGATAATCAAGTGTTGGATTTTTTTTCAAAAAATGCAACTATTTAGAGATTTAAAAGAGAAATTTAAGTGAATTCTTACCACCGTCGTTGAATTCTTCTCTGAAATGTACGGTTGGTTCGGTAAATGCTAAACTAAATAACGAGAAAATGATTATAAAAGTCTTCATGTTTGAAATGTCTTCTGTCGTCTGCCTACAAAACGCTAAGCGATGACGATTGTTAATGACAGGACCGCACTTAATCTACCGCCAGATGGACGCCTCTCATTGGTTAAAATTAATAAACCAATAAAAGACTACCACGCGCCAACTGATGTAGTTGAATGGCTGATTCAACTCTAACCAATAAGATTCTACCACGAGTTGTGACTCTTGTTACGTCAGAGATGAGGTAATAATATATAATATATATATATATATTACAGTATCTACTTTTTAAAAGTTTTAATTTGATATTTNATTTTTTTAAACTGTTACTTCTGTGGTGGTGTTTAAGGGATTTAAAAGATAGACTCGAAAAATTTAATTTTTTGTAAATAGTCTAAAAACTTCAATTAAGAATAAAAAAAAACAATTTTTTCTATGAGGGCTACTTTTTTAAATAAGGTCCGTTTGTGAATAAGAGTGAGAATGATGCGCGATTGCAGCAGTGTGCATGAGCATCTGCTTTCAGCATGCTTTGCGCATGTTTAGATGCCATTTGCAGCCGTATCGCCTGTCTCTGTGCTGAGCTGTAGAAGTTTATAATGTTTAAGAAAATTGAGTCGCCCACCGACTGTAAGATACAACCTGTTATTTGATTTCAGCACAAAAGATCATGGTAACCGTCTTTTGGGACAGGAAAGGGACTTTGTTAGTGGATTTTATGCCAAGAGGCACAACAATCAATTCTGATGCTTATTGTGACCTTGAGAAAACTCTGCCGTGCCATACAAGACAAGTTGTGTGGCCTAATGTCTTCCAGCGGCAGGTGGCAGATTTCTTTGAAGTCGGAATTTAAAAAATTTTTGAGCGGTATAATAAATATTTGAACAAAAATGGAAATTATGTAGGAAAGTAGATAAAAGTATGTAGAATATGGGAAAAAATATATTTTAATGATATTTGCAGTATTTTTCTTCTTATTAAAAAACAGACCTTATTTAAAAAATAACCTTGTACAATACTGTACTATAACAAAGATATTTTATACCTTGCATTCTTATAATGTATGGATTTATGGAATACTGTAGATTGATATGTCAACAAAATAAAAATAATACTAGTTTCAGCTACAAAGGAGTCATAGCTTTTGAGAGTTAAGTCATAATGGTCAACTACTTACACAAAAGCAAAGATTATACAGTATGTCCAAGTTGTAACTTAAGATAAAATTACTCTATTTAAATCTAAAACTCCAACAAACCATTAATTAAATTAGTAAAAACATGAACAACACAATTACTTTAATGTTGCTTTGTAACATGACAATTAGGGTTTCTCAAATGAGATCCCGATTGTTTTTTTAACCCAGGAAATCCCGCAAATTTCTTGAAGTTCACTTTTTTCTTATTTTGTGTTATGGTTGAGGAAATTTTGCAAATAGAAAGTATAATTAACACAAACTGTCAGAATACATTTTGTATTTATTCATTTTAAACTTACTTATTAGTTTTTTTTTTTTTTTTAATTTTTCCTTGTTATGGCATATCACATAGCTTATTTGTGGCAGGACTTGGAAAATTCTTTACTTGTCGGAACCTGTAATATCTAGAATAATTGTGCTTACACTGTCTTAATTTTTAACTATGCCCAGTAGCTTCAATAACTGCATAATGCCAGGTTGTGCAAACTGAGCAAGGATACGAGTACAAAGTCTGCAAGTATGAAGTTTTTCTTCATAAACCTGATTATTAAAGCCAAATGAATTGCCAAATTATCAAGCTATAAGCTTGATGCCGCTATTAAAGCAGCAGAGGTAGACAAATCAAGAATACTAGAAAGCAAAAGAAGTACTACAATCTTGAAAATGAACTAGAAATCTTCCAGGATACAGGTGAAATAAACATATATAACATCTGTCTTCTCTTAAATGCATTAAAGACAATTATTCCACTATTATCAATTGAATCAGAAAGGGCATTCTCAATAGCGGGACTTTTCATTATTAAAATAAGATTCAGATTGTGTGATCGGAGTATTGACCATCTTTTCTTTTTAAAATCTTATAAAAATTTACATTATTATTGTGTTTCATTTAGATTCATTTTTTTTTCTCTTGTCTTTG